TCATTCGGAAATTCGAATGACGCACCCAAACGTATTGGAAGCAGCGGTATATACTGTATTATGTGGTACAACTGGTAGGAGATGAGGGGCAACCGATGTACCCCCAGACCCAGATTAGGGTACCCCCTGACCCAGATTAGGGTACCCATTAAGGTACCCCCAGACCCAGATAGGGTACCCTCAGACCCAGATTAGGGTACCCCCTGACCCAGATTAGGGTACCCATTAAGGTGCCCCCACACCCAGATTAGGGTACCCCCTGACCCAGATTAGGGTACCCATTAAGGTGCCCCCAGACCCAGATAGGGTACCCCCAGACCCAGATTAGGGTACCCATTAAAGTACCCCCAGACCCAGATTAGGGTACCCTCAGACCCAGATTAGGGTACCCCCACACCCAGATTAAGGTACCCCCAGATCCAGGGGGTCATCAAGGTGGCTTGGATATGTAAAACAACTATTAAACAAGAGAAATAAAAGATACAGGAAGAGCTACAGGAAGGAGGAAAAAAAAACAAAAGAAGAAAGGAAAATAATAAGGGAAGCCGGGATAAAACATATGAGAAGGGAAAGGAAAGAGGATGCAGCAGCACGAGCGAGGAGGAGGAGGAGGAGGAGGAGGAGGAGGAGGAGGAGGAGGAGGAGGGGTTTCTGTGACCAAGTTATCCCCGGGGCAGCAGGCATGGAAATCAGGGCAAGTGCACCGTGGGGGAGGAGGTGAAAACATATCTATGGGAGACTTTTTTTTAATAGTGGCAGATTACTACCTGAGCAGACCTTCACCCCCAAAAAACATCATTCCTCCTCAGTAGTCTGTGTGGCCCCCACGTGCTTGTATGAATGCCTGACAACATCGGGGGAGGTTCCTAATAAGACCACGGATGGTGTCCTGGGGGATTTCCTCCCAGATCTGAACCAGGACATCACTGAGCTCCTGGACAGTCTGAGGTGCAGCCTGGCGGGGTCGGATGGACCGAAACATGACATCCCAGAGGGTTCTATTGGATTTAGGTCAGGGGAGCGTGGGGGCCATTCAATGGTATCAATTCCTTCATCCTCCAGGAACTGCCTGCATACTCCCCCCACATGAGGCCGGGCATTGTCCTGCACCAGGAGGAACCCGGGACCCACTGCACCAGGAGGAACCCGGGACCCACCGCACCAGGAGGAACCCAGGACCCACCTCACCAGGAGGAGCCCAGGACCCACCGCACCAGGAGGAGCCCAGGACCCACCGCACCAGGAGGAGCCCAGGACCCACCGCACCAGGAGGAGCCCAGGACCCACCTCACCAGGAGGAACCCGGAACCCACCACACCAGGAGGAACCCACGACCCACCGCACCAGGAGGAACCCAGGACCCACCTCACCAGGAGGAGCCCAGGACCCACCGCACCAGGAGGAGCCCAGGACCCACCGCACCAGGAGGAGCCCAGGACCCACCGCACCAGGAGGAGCCCAGGACCCACCGCACCAGGAGGAGCCCAGGACCCACCGCACCAGGAGGAGCCCGGGACCTACTGCACCAGGAGGAACCCGGGACCCACTGCACCAGGAGGAGCCCAGGACCCCCTGCACCAGGAGGTACCCAGGACCCACTGCACCAGGAGGAACCCAGGACCCACTGCACCAGTGTAGGATCTGACAATGGGTCCAAGGATTTCATCCCGATACCTAATGGCAGTCAGGGTGCCATGGTCTAGCCTGTAGAGGTCTGTGTGTCCCTCCATGGAGATGCCTCCCCAGACCATCACTGACCCACCACCATACCGGTCATGCTGAACCATGTTACAGGCAGCAGAACGTTCTCCACGGCTTCTCCAGACCCTTTCACGTCTGTCACATGTGCTCAGGGGAACCTGCTCTCATCTGTGAAAAGCACAGGGCGCCAGTGGTGGACCTGCCAAGTCTGGGGTTCAATGGCCAATGCCAATCCAGCTCTATGGTGCCGGGCAGTAAGCACGGGGGCCCACTAGAGGATGTCGGGCCCTCAGGTCACCCTCATGAAGTCTGTTTCTGATTGTTTGGTCAGAGACATTCACACCAGTGGCGTGCTGGAGGTCATGTTGTAGGGCTCTGGCAGGGCTCATCCTGTTCCTCCTTGTACAAAGGAGCAGATACCGGTCCTGCTGATGGGTTAAGGACCTTCTACGGCCCTGTCCAGCTCTCCTACATTCCCATCAGTCCCCGCCCCCGAGGAGAGCACAATCTAAGGTCCCTAGCTCACAATCATACATAGTAGAGCCAATTTATCTACCAGCAAGTCTTTGGAGTGTGGGAGGAAACCAGAGTACCCGGAGGAAACCCGCACAGGGGGAACATGCAAACTCCAAGCAGGTGGTGCCGCGGCTGGGATTCGAACCAACGATATACATAGTTGGTCCAAGCTGGAACAATGTAGTAATGATGTCCATACTGGGAATTCTGTGAAGGGATACAGGAAATATTTCCAACTTTATCCCATTGGACTTTCTGACTTGTCGCCGGCCCCCACGTTTCACGGCCGCCATTGGACTTTCTGACTTGTCGCCGGCCCCCACGTTTCACGGCCGCCAGTGGACTTTCTGACTTGTTGCCGGCCGCCACCTTTCACGGCCGTCACTGGACTTTCTGACTTGTCGCCGGCTGCCACGTTTCACGGCCGCCATTGGACTTTCTGGCTTGTCGCCGCCCGCCATGTTTCACGGCCCCCATTGGACTTTCTGACTTGTCGCCGGCCGCCATTGGACTTTCTGACTTGTCGCCGGCCGCCATTGGACTTTCTGACTTGTCACCGGCCCCCACGTTTCACGGCCGCCATTGGACTTTCTGACTTGTCGCCGGCCGCCATTGGACTTTCTGACTTGTTGCTGCCCACCACGTTTCACGGCCACCATTGGACTTTCTGACTTGTCATCAGCCGCCATGTTTCTCTTTCTGGATTCGCCATAAGACATTCCCTTGGTAACACTCCTCCGGCACAGAACGGGCCTAAGGGTTCGAGAATCAGGAGAGAGATGCCGCCGGCTGTGCCGAATATAATGTATGCGTTTCTCCGCTCCCCAAATCGCCAGCTCAGGAATTTTCCGGATAATCCGCCGAGAAAAGCTTTACAGTGCCGAACCTTTTCACTTATCATAGGACGGGGGAGGGGGGATAGTACAACAGGCTGCTCTGCTGGGGAGCTAACCGGACTTCAAAGGGCCCCAGCAGCCCATCTGAACAACAAGATCTATTAGATATTCTGTTTAACATTTGTCGCTGCAACAACTGATTATGCCTAACAAAGTCACTCCCCGTGTAATTGGCTCCCTAGGTACACCTGCAAAGAAAAGCAAAAAAAAAAAAAAAGAAAAGCAAAAAAAAAGAGAAGAGGAATGCGGGATGATGTTTTTCGCGAGAACAGAACAATGGAGAACAATGGCTCTCTTATGTTCCAATACCGCCTTCCTGCATTTCTCTTAGGACAGCAGCAGCTGCAGCATCCCTGAGATATGCGCATTCTGGTCTAGCTGGGGTAAGAAGAGACGCCGGAGCCGGCCTTTGAAGATAAGCCCCAGCTTAAAAACTAAGCACACCTTTTGCAAAAAAAAAAAAAAAAAGTAAAGATATAAAAATGTATAAAAAAATTATAAATATGAAAAATCTATAATAATATCAATATTAATAATAATAATTGCACATACATTTACTAAAGGAAAAACCAAAACTTGCATTTATTTATTTATTTTGCAAATGAGCATGCAACCCTTTACTTAAAAACCGAAAGTCAACCTTTTGAGAATAAAAAAGATATAAAAATGTATATATAAAAAAAAAAAATATATAAAATTGAAATATATATTAATATTAATAATAATAATTGCACATACATTTGCTAAAAAAAAAAAAAACAAAACATGCATTTGTTTATTTTATTTTTTGCAAATGAGCATGCAACCCTTTACTTAAAAACCGAAAGTCAACCTTTTGAGAATAAAAAAAGATATAAAAATTTATAAAAAAAAAAATATATCAAAATGAAATATATAATAATATTAATAATAATAATTGCACATACATATACTAAAAAAAAAACAAAAACATGCATTTGTTTATTTTATTTTTTGCAAATGAGCATGCAACCCTTTACTTAAAAACCGAAAGTCAACCTTTTGAGAATAAAAAAATTATACAGAAATATTAAAGAAAAAAAAAAAAAGACATGCTGGTAGATTAATTGGCCCCTAGTATGTGTATGCATGGATGTGAGTTAGGGACCTTAGATCGTACGCCCCTCGAGGGTTAGGGACTGATGTGAATGTACAATATATATGGAAATATATGTAAAGCGCTGCATACACTGACGGCGCTATTTAAGTTCCTTGAAATAAATAAATATGTAAATAATAAAATAAATAATATAAAAATATGAAAAAAAATGAATTCATGATATTAATAAATGCACAGATATTTGGTGAAAAAAAACTGCATTTATTATTTTTTTTTTTTTTTTTTTTGCAAATCTTGCCCCCCCCCATGTGATAGTATGATGTGACAGGTTCTCTTTATTGAGACATTGGAGTCTACTAGCCCTGACATAATTTGGGTGAATACTGTACTACACCATTGTATAGATGGCTTTACAGATGACAGATAATACTTTCCTATGGAGGAGCGCTGATATAGTATGCTATGCCGCAGGCGGAGTGATTGGGGGGGGCAGGGGGTACAGATACAAATTTTGGGGGGTTGGAGTTCACAGTCTGATTTAATAAATATATATTGTTGACATTACTGCTTGCCCTGATGAAGAGGCACTTTCAAGCCCCCGAAACGCGTTGCTCTACTCATGTGTAAGATTCCTGGATGATCCTAATTTCTGCTTTTCCTTTTTATTCTCTTCTCATTGATCCCTCTGTGTGACAACATTCCGATAAATCCAATCTACGATTCCCCGCGGAGTTGGACGCCTTCTGGAGATCCAGCAACAATGACACCCCCCCATCCCCCTTCCCATTCTATAGGGGTGACAGTCTTACCTCTCTGTTTCTTTGCTGAACTGCCCTTTGCCAACATCATTCACAGCGCAGAGGCGGAACTGATAGGAGCGAGCCGGGGTGAGGTTCTTCACCACGAGGGAGGAGTAGTCCGGGTCCATATTTGCAAAGAGAACGGTCCACGGGACACCTAGGAGCAAAGATTACACAATCAGAGCACTATATTACCAAAAGTATTGTCCCCGCCCTCCAAATCATGTGATTCAGGTGTTCCAATCCCCTCCATATCATGTGATTCAGGTGTTCCAACCCCCTCCAAATCATGTGATTCAGGTGTTCCAACCCCCTCCAAATCATGTGATTCAGGTGTTCCAACCCCCTCCAAATCATGTGATTCAGGTGTTCCAATCCCCTCCATATCATGTGATTCAGGTGTTCCAATCCCCTCCCAATCATGTGATTCAGGTGTTCCAATCCCCTCCATATAATGTGATTCAGGTGTTCCAATCCCCTCCATATAATGTGATTCAGGTGTTCCAATCCCCTCCCAATCATGTGATTCAGGTGTTCCAATCCCCTCCATATCATGTGATTCAGGTGTTCCAATCCCCTCCCAATCATGTGATTCAGGTGTTCCAATCCCCTCCATATCATGTGATTCAGGTGTTCCAATCCCCTCCATGGACACAGGTGTATACAATCAAGCCCCTAGGCATGCAGACTGCTTCTACAAACATTGGTGAAAGAATGGGTCGCTCTCAGGAGCTCAGTGACTCCAAGCGTGGTCCCGTGATAGGTGGCCACCTGGGCAATAAGTCCATCCGTGACATTTCCTGGCTACTAAATATTCCACGCTCAACTGTTAGTGGGATTATAACAAAGTGGAAGCAACTGGGAACAACAGCCACTCAGCCACCAAGTGGTAGGCCACGTCACATGACAGGGCGGGGTCAGCGCATGCTGAAGCGCACAGTGCGCAGAAGTCGCCAACTGTCTGCAGAGTCAATAGCTAAAGACCTCCAAACTTGGTGTGGCCTTCAGATGAGCCCAACAACAGTGTGTAGAGAGCTCCATGGAATGGGTTTCCATGGCCGAGCAGCTGCATCCAAGCCTTCCATCACCAAGTGCAATGCAAAGCGTCGGATGCCGTGGTGTAAAGCATGCCGCCACTGGACTCTAGAGCAGGGGAGACGTCTTCTCTGGAGTGACCAATCACACTTCTCTGCCTGGCAATCTGATGCACATGTCTGGGTTTGGCGGTGGCCCGGAGAACGGTACTTGACTGACTGCATTGTGCCAAGTGTAAAGTTTGGTGGAGGGGGGATTATGGTGTGGGGTTGTTCCTCAGGGTGTGAACTTGGCCCTCTAGTTCGAGTGAAGGGAACTCTTAAGGCGACATTTTGGACAATTTCATGCTCCCAACTTTGTGGGAAGAGTTTGGGGATGGCCCCTTCCTGTTCCAACATGACTGCGCACCAGTGCACAAAGCAAGGTCCATAAAGACATGGAGGAGCCAGTTTGGGGTGGAGGAACTTGACTGTCCTGCACAGAGTCCTGACCTCAACCCCATAGAACACCTTTGGGATGAATTAGAGCGGAGACTGTGAGCCAGGCCTCCTCCCCCGACATCAGTGCCTGACCTGACAAATGTGCTTCTGGAAGAATGGTCCAACCTTCCCATAGACACCCTCCTAAACCTTGTGGACGGCCTTCCCAGAAGAGTTGAAGCTGTTATAGGCGCAAAGGGCGGGGCCAACTCAATATTGAACCCTACGGACTAAGACTGGGGGGCCATTAAAGGTCATGTGCGTGGGAAGGGCGGGGCCAACTCAATATTGAACCCTACGGACTAAGACTGGGAGGCCATTAAAGGTCATGTGTGTGGAAAGGCCGGCGGCCCAATACTTGGAGCAATATCGTGTATCTTCAGGGTAAAGAAGAAAAAGGAGTCCTGGAAGTGATGGTTTGGCCCCCACAGAGCCCTAATCTCACCATCATGGAGCCTATCTGGGATGACATGAAGAGACAGAAGGACTGGAGGCGGCCGACATCCACAGAAGATCTGGGCTTAGTCCTCTAAGATGTACATAGGACAACCAACCTGCCGAGTTCCTTCACTGTGTGCAAGTCTATCCAGGAGAAGGCAGAGGGCGGACACCCCAAATATTGATTGGATTTCTCTTCATTTACTTCCCATTTTGTTAATTGATAAAAATAAACTATTAACACTTCGATTTCTGACGTGTTCTTCATTTACAGCCCAGTGCAGACGATGAGAATATCAGACAAATGATCGACCATTTTATTTTTTGCATTCTAGTCTCCATATGGAAAATGAAGTTATTCAACTTCTGAAAATTCTCGTACGTCTGAATGCGATGTCCACAGTGGTGTCATGTCTCGGTGTTGTAGTTTCGGATGAATGCTCTACTGATTAAACGGAAATTGTACGAGAAAATATGTCATGCTTGTCCCTTCGGATATTGTCCCGTGTATTGTCATGATCGGCTCTCGAAAGCCGTGTACTAACGATCCGATTATTGGATGATTGATCCTTGTATGAAAATGTTCGTACAATCTGCTTATTGTGTGTATGGGCCTCAAGACTCTTGCACAGTACTGCACATAGATCAATAGATAGATACATTGATAGATTGATTGATAAATAGATTGAAAGACCGATTGATTGATAGATTGATATATAGATAGATTGATAGATAGATTGATAGATAGATTGATCAATTGATTGATAGACTGATTGATTGATAGATTGAAAGACAGTTTGAAAGATTGATTGATAGATCAATTGATAGATTGAAAGACATAGATAATTGATTAAAAGACAGATTGATAGATAGATTGATTGATAGACAGATTGAAAGATAGATTGAAAGATAGATAGATTGATTGATCAATTGATTGATAGGTAGTTTGAAAGATAAATTGAAAGAGATAGATTGATAGATTGATTGATAGATAGATTGAAAGATAGATTGAAAGACAGATAGATTGATTGATAGATCAATTGACTGATAGATTGATAGATCGATTGATTGATAGATCGATAGATTGATAGATCGATAGATTGATCAATAGATCGATTGAAAGATAAATAGATAGATATAGGCAGGGCTTTTTTTCAGCAGGAACCGGCACCTCCAGCACTGAATTTATGTAATGACAAGGGATGCCGGGCTGTGCTGGGCTGAGGGTCTATTGATTCTGGCTGCTGAGGGATCTATTGTTGCCGGAGGGGATCTATATTTGCATGGGGATCTATTGTTGCTGGGGTTCTATTGCTGCTGGTTGGGGATCTATTGTTGCTAGGGGGTCTTATGTTTTTTGGGGGGAGGAGTAATTTGTTGCTGGCTGCTGGGATATCTGTTGTTGCTGCTGGGGAGATCTATTGTTGCTGGTGGATTTCTTGTTTCTGGCTGCATGGGATCTATGGTTGCTGGCTGATGGGAGATCTGTTACTGCTGGATAGGGTCTATTGTTGCTGGGGGGTCTCTGGTTGCTGGCTGCAGGAGTTCTATGGTTGCTGGCTGCTGGGTGATCTGCTGTTGCTGGATAGGGTTTATTGTTGCTGTGGGTGTTTGCTGGCTGCAGGGGATCAATGGTTGTGGGAGGGGGGGTTTTCTGGCTGCCAGGGGATCTATGGTTGCAGGGGGTGGGGGTTGCTGGCTGCAGGGGACCAATGGTTGTGGGAGGGGGGGTTTGCTGGCTGCCAAGGGATCTATGGTTGCTGGGAGATCAGTTGCTGCTGGATAGGGTCTATTGTTGCTGTGGGGGTTTATTGGTGCAGGGGCTCTATTGTTGTGGGGGGGGCTGGCTGCAGGGGATCTATGCTTTCGTGGGTGGGTGTTGCCAGCTGCAGGGGATCTATAGTTGCCGGGGACCGGTTGCTGGCTGCAGGGGATCTATAGTTGTGGGGGGGGGTTGCTGGCTGCAGGGGATCTGTTTTATTGCTTTTCTTGTTATCATCAACAAATTCCACACAAATTGCTACAATCATCCCTATAAAATGATACTTGGTTCTGTGTTCTCTTGGGGGGGGGGGGGGGCGGTACTCAGAGGTGGGTAGGGGGTGAAACTAAGGATCAGTACTTGAAGGTGGGTAGGGGGGCGGAGACAAGGGGTGACTCCGCAGGACGAAGTTTCTGCCCCTCTTCCTAGTATAGGGGCCACTAGAGATTCCCAGACTTGTATACAATGTAGCGTTTAGAAGAGCGAAGTATCAACAAGAACGACATAAAAAGTGACATTTCACAACTTCACATGTGGACACCCTGAGGAGGAGGAGGAGGGGGGGAGGGGATTGGTTCCGTTTCAGGAATCGGCAGGCAGGTTGGCTCCGGCGGCCCGGCGCTCTCATCGGCATAACAGGTCCACTTCAGCACCTGCGCTCGGCCCCGTATCGGCACGTCCTTCCCTGACGGGGGCATTCCAATGACACAGGAAAAACAAGGCATCTTGTTAGATTGTTTCCTCACGGATGTTACGGCGGAAGATAAATGAGGTCTACGGTGTATGGAAATCAGGAGGGGGCGGCTCTGGGGGTTCAATCCTTTGGGGTGTAAGAGGGATATCAGATCTGCATATGATATGCGCAGGCAGGCGAAGGAGACGCTGAATTCCTCTGAAGGAGCCTCATAAATATGGAATGCGACTCGCAAGCCAACAGAGATGCCTGCAAATAAGACGAGGCTTGGGTTAACCCCGTCGTGGCTCCTCGGCAGACGGGCGGCCGGGGGCCCAGCCGAGTCCCCCAAGACCTTCCCCATCCTGGAGCCCAGGAGCCGGCAGGCAGGTGCACTCGCCGCATTTACAAAGAAAAAGAAAAATCCGGCTTTATTTAAAACAGACGGCGGTGATGGGTGTCAACAGACATCTTCTACTGCGACAGATCCTACCGCTGCCTGTAGTGGGATAGTTCGTCTGACCGAGCAGATCCAACCCCCATCGCTCAATTCCCATAGGAGATTAAAGTGAAATCTGCAGCTTTCATAATAATCCCTGGTGATCCTGCCATGGGGGGTCCTTGTTCAGGCACTTCCTGTTATAGGGTGACAACGCTCTGTCCCTGTCTCCCCGATATGTGACTTCATATCGGTATGCACTCCATCGATGGTTGCACCATGCCCTGCATAGCGTGTGCTGAACTGACCCCTTGGTAGTCCCCATTGGGCATCAGGGTGACAACACTCTGTCCCTGTCTCCCAATTGGGTTCCTGTGTTGTCACCCTGATGCCTGATGAGGACTACCAATTGGGAGACAGGGACAGAGCGTTGTCACCTTGATGCCTGATGGGAACTACCAATTGGGAGACAGGGACAGAGTGTTATAGACTATGGGACTATGAACTATGGGACTATAGACTATGGGACTATGAACTATGGGGGTATAGACTATGGGACTATGAACTATGGGGGTATAGACTATGGGATGATGAACTATGGGGGTATAGACTATGGGACTATGAACTATGGGGGTATAGACTATGGGACCATGAACTATGGGACTATAGACTATGGGACTATGAACTATGGGGGTATAGACTATGGGACTATGAACTATGGGGGTATAGACTATGGGACTATGAACTATGGGGGTATAGACTATGGGACTATGAACTATGGGGGTATAGACTATGGGACTATGGGGGTATAGGCTATGGGACTATGAACTATGGGGGTATAGACTATGGGACTATGAACTATGGGGGTATAGACTATGGGACTATGAACTATGGGGGTATAGACTATGGGACTATGAACTATGGGGGTATAGACTATGGGACTATGGGGGTATAGGCTATGGGACTATGAACTATGGGGGTATAGACTATGGGACTATGAACTATGGGGGTATAGACTATGGGACTATGAACTATGGGGGTATAGACTATGGGACTATGAACTATGGGGGTATAGACTATGGGACTATGAACTATGGGGGTATAGACTATGGGACTATGAACTATGGGGGTATAGACTATGGGATGATAGACTATGGGACTATGAACTATGGGGGTATAGACTATGGGATGATGAACTATGGGGGTATAGACTATGGGACTATGGGGGTATAGACTATGGGACTATGAACTATGGGGGTATAGACTATGGGACTATGAACTATGGGGGTATAGACTATGGGACTATGGGGGTATAGACTATGGGACTATGAACTATGGGGGTATAGACTATGGGACTATGGGGGTATAGACTATGGGACTATGAACTATGGGGGTATAGACTATGGGACTATGAACTATGGGGGTATAGACTATGGGATGATGAACTATGGGGGTATAGACTATGGGACTATGAACTATGGGGGTATAGACTATGGGACTATGAACTATGGGGTTATAGACTATGGGACTATGGGGGTATAGACTATGGGACTATGAACTATGGGGGTATAGACTATGGGACTATGAACTATGGGGGTATAGACTATGGGATGATGAACTATGGGGGTATAGACTATGGGACTATGAACTATGGGGGTATAGACTATGGGACTATGAACTATGGGGTTATAGACTATGGGACTATGGGGGTATATAGACTATGGGACTATGAACTATGGGGGTATAGACTATGGGACTATGAACTATGGGGGTATAGACTATGGGACTAGGGACTGTAGACTATGGATTTGGGACTATGGGCTATGGGGCTAAAGACTGAGGATGATGGGGCTATAGATAAAGGATTTGGGACTTTGGAGATATGGACTAGGGACTATGGATTTGGGACTATGGGATGTGTAGTGCACATGACCGCAGCCAACCTGCATGGCTCATACCAAACAGAAGGAAGTGGGGGGGAGGTTTGGGAGCTTCCAGAGGACATGACGAGGAGATGGAAAAAAACACAGTAAGAAGCACAGATGAAATGGCCTTTAGGTAGCGGAGGAGTATGGATTATTTTTGGAGAATGGGATATAGTCAGTCTAACCCTGGAAGCTTGCTGACAGGAGGATAGATCAGAGATAGCGCAGTGATGATTCAAGCTGCTCATCCTCCGTCCAATCAGCAGATGAAAGGGGCGTGTCCCAGACCAAGCTGTAGTGGAGGAGGAGGCTCTGGTTATTCTGTGGCTATCTGGATCACAACGCTGGCTGAGCAGAGTCAGCCCCCCACAGGCCCCGTACAAGTTGTGGTGCCGGAAGGAAGGAGTCCGGCCCGGGAAGGGTCAGCACGGCATTTGTCCCCCATTTCCCCGCCGTTCCCCTTTAATCCGGCCCGGGAAGGGTCAGCGCGGCATTTGTTCCCCATTTCCCCGCCGTTCCCCTGGAATCCGGCCCGGGAAGGGTTAGCGCGGCATTTGTCCCCCATTTCCCCACCGTTCCCCTGGAATCCGGCCCGGGAAGGGTCAGCGCGGCATTTGTCCCCCATTTCCCCGCCGTTCCCCTTTAATCCGACCCGGGAAGGGTTAGCGCAGCATTTGTTCCCCATTTCCCCGCTGTTCCCCCAGAATCCGGTCTGGGAAGGGTCAATGGTGCATTTGTCCCCCATTTCCCCGCTGTTCCTCCGGAATCCGTCCTGGGAAGGGTCAGCGCGGCATTTGTCCCCCATTTCCCCGCCGTTCCCCTGGAATCCGTCCTGGGAAAGGTTAGCACGGCATTTGTCCCCCATTTCCCCGCCGTTCCCCTTTAATCCGACCCGGGAAGGGTTTAGCGCGGCATTTGTCCCCCATTTCCCCGCCGTTCCCCTGGAATCCGTCCTGGGAAGGGTCAGCGCGGCATTTGTCCCCCATTTCCTCGCCGTTCCCCTGGAATCCGTCCTGGGAAGGGTTAGCGTGGCATTTGTCCCCCATTTCCCCGCTGTTCCCCCTAGAATCCGGCCCGGGAAGGGTTAGCGCAGCATTTGTCCCCCATTTCCCCGCCGTTCCCTTGGAATCCGTCCTGGGAAGGGTTAGCGCGGCATTGTCCCCCATTTCTCCACCGTTCCCCTTTAATCCGTCCTGGGAAGGGTTAGCGCGGCATTTGTCCCCCATTTCTCCACCGTTCCCCTTTAATCCGTCCTGGGAAGGGTTAGCGCGGCATTTGTCCCCCATTTCCCCGCCGTTCCCCTGGAATCCGTCCTGGGAAGGGTTAGCGTGGCATTTGTCCCCCATTTCCCCGCCGTTCCCCTGGAATCCGTCCTGGGAAGGGTTAGCGCGGCATTGTCCCCCATTTCTCCACCGTTCCCCTTTAATCCGTCCTGGGAAGGGTTAGCGCGGCATTTGTCCCCCATTTCCCCACCGTTCCCCTTTAATCCGACCCGGGAAGGGTCAGCGCGGCATTTGTCCCCCATTTCCCCGCCGTTCCCCTTTTAATCTGGCCCGGGAAGGGGTTAGCGCGGCATTTGTCCCCCATTTCCCCGCCGTTCCCCTTTAATCCGGCCCGGGAAGGGTTAGCGCGGCGGCGCGGTTTGTTATTCGGCGCCGTGTCTTCATGCTAAGCCATCTATCTGCAGGACGTGCTTATCTCCGCAGAGCGATGTCACCGGGAGCCGCGTCTTTCATACCAAGTGAGCCGGGGTGCCATAAAGAGGGAAAAATTCAATTTGCTGGTGGGTGGGGGAGGGAGCGGGGGAGGGGATGTAACGGCGGCGGCACAAATAATATGATTAAGGCGAGTGGACGCCGCGGGTTCTAGTAAAAAATATGACCTTTGACCCCTCCCGGGGAATTGCCGCAGTAATCTCTGCTGTACAAGTGATGGGAATAAAATCACAAGGAGGAGGAATGCGGGGGCCATTTACTGGGTAAAGTCGACCTGTCATCACATCGATCGATGATAAAGACTTCCTCCCTCAGGACTCCCCCTGACAACGCCGCCATCTGCTTTTCTCATTGGAAGGACGGTGCCATCTTTGTTCAGGCATCATCCGGGGTCACCGTCTACTTCCCGGACTGAGATGCCGACTCAAAGATGGCGCAATCACTGAGGAAATGCCTCCTCCTTCTACAAAGTTACAATGTACAGTCTGATCACTGGGGGAGGGGAGACTGAGGAAACGCCTCCTCCTCCTTCCACAAAGTTACAATGTACAGTCTGATCACTGGGGGAGGAGACTGAGGAAATGCCTCCTCCTCCTTCTACAAACTTACAATGTACAGTCTGATCACTGGGGGAGGGGAGACTGAGGAAATGCCTCCTCCTCCTTCTACAAAGTTACAATGTACAGTCCGATCACTGGGGGAGGGGAGACTGAGGAAATGACTCCTCCTCCTTCTACAAAGTTACAATGTACAGTGTGATCACTGGGGGAGGGGAGACTGAGGAAACGCCTCCTCCTTCTACAAAGTTACAATGTACAGTGTGATCACTGGGGGAGGGGAGACTGAGGAAACGCCTCCTCCTTCTACAAAGTTACAATGTACAGTCTGATCACTGGGGGAGGAGAGACTGAGGAAATGCTTCCTCCTCCTACAAAGTTACAATGTACAGTCTGATCACTGGGGATCATTTATCTCAGTGTGTATGGCCACCATACATGGAAGGTGCTGCTTGGACCCGGAAGCATTGTTGCCTTCCATGTGGTGGGTTGGCTGTGTGTTGGGAGGTCCTCGGGTTGGAGGTGTCTCGTAGATCCTCCATACACTTACTGTTCTCAGAGACCTCCAGGATGTAGCGGATCAGCGGGCTGTTCCCATCGAAGGGTCTGGCCCAGGAAAGGTTGATGGATCTCGGCTCTGTGGTGCTCAGCAAGGCGATGGGGTTCTCGGGAGAATGAGGGAGTTGCCTGGAAGATGAAAAAAAAAAAAAAAAAAATATCTGCTGAAGCCGACAACAGCAAGAAAACCACAGAAATCGTCTGAATTCCAAACCTGAGAAAACGAACAAAAAACAATCTATTCCTCAATACTCACAAAGGGTAGAGATCCACTCTGTGCGCACCAAACGCCTCTGCAAACCCAGATATTACCTCGTATAATGAGCTGGGACATCACATGTATAACGAAGGGAGCTGTAGGATCTCACCTGACCCGCAGGTAAGCGCTCTTCGAGTCGTTGCCCCCTACAGACAGGATGCGGCAGGTGTAGGTCCCGATGTCCCCGGACCAGGTCTGGGAGATGTGTAAGGTGCCGTTCTTGTCCATCTTGATCCGGGGTAAGTTCTCCACACTCAGCGCGCTCCCGTCCTTCTCCCAAATGTACCTGGAAGAGAGGAAGACGAGACGCCGGCGGAATCAGATACGGCTTGTCGTAGTGGTCAGTGGTGGCGGCTGATTGGATGAGGTCCCGTCCAGAAGAGTAAAGATTGGGCTTCAGGACAAGAAATGAGGGAGCGGTGCTCCACCCAAGAGGGGTTCCATTGGGTAAGAACGGGGTAATTAAAGTATGGTGAGATAATAAAAGTGAGCGCTCTAAGGTAAGCTCGGGTTTCTCCATACCAACCGGCCAGGATATACTGTATCTTGCCTTGAAGTGACATTATTCATATGGAGCCATCCAACACATTCTGAACAATTGTCTTCTTCAGGGGTGAAAATGGTATATTATATAATCCAAGGACCAAGAAGAACATTAGCCATGTAAAGTAAAATGTATGGGTTGCTGCCTTCATATGACCCACATGAAAGCTCCCTGATCCTCAATCCATGAGGCCTTCAGAGTTGCTGACAGACTGGACCAGCAGTCAACCGTTGGCATCACTAGTAACCCTTCCAACTGTCCCCCAGCATTATCGGAGTTGGTGGGCTTCCATGTGGGTCATGTGAAGGCAGCAACCTATACACTTTAATTTACATGGTCAATGTCCTTCTTTGGTCCTTGTATCATATGATATACTATATGCATCCCTGAAGAAGACAATTGCTCGAAACGCGACGGGTCACTCCACAGGATTAATGCCACTTCCATTCAAGATATATCTATAACTAATGTATCACTATTTATTCCACATGTTACATTAGTTAGAGATATATCTTGTTTTGAAGTGATAATAATTTTATGGAGCTTTCCAACACATTCCAAACAATTGTCTTCTTCAGGGGTGAAAATGGAATATTATGATACAAGGACCAAGAAGAACATTAGTCATGTAAATTAAAATGTATGGGTTACTGCCTTCACTAGACCCACATGGAAGCTTCCTGATCTTCAATCCATGAGGCCTACAGGGTTGCTGACAGACTGGACCAGCATTCAACTGTTGGCATGGCTAGCAACCCGACAGACTGGACCAGCATTCAACTGTTGGTTTGTTTGGAATGTGTTGGAAGACAATTGTTTGGAATGTGTTGGAAAGCTCCATATGAGTAATGTCACTTCAAAGCAAGATACCATGACTGGTTGGTATGGAGCAACCCTATGCATTTCGAACAATTGTCTTCTTCAGGGGTGAAAATGGTATATTATATGATACAAGGACCAAGAGGAACATTAGTCATGTAAATTAAAATGTATGGGTTGCTGCCTTCATAAGACCCACATGAAAGCTCCCTGATCCTCAATCTGTGAGGCCCTCAGGGTTGCTGACAGACTGGACCAACATTCAACTGTTGGCATGGCTAGCAACCGTTCCAACTGTCCCCTAGCAGTAATGGAGTTGGTGAGCTTCCATGTGGGTCATGGGAAGGCAGCAACCTATATATTTTACTTTATATGGCTAATGATCTATTTGGTCCTTGTATCACATGATATACTATATGCACCTCTGAAGAAGACAATTGTTCGAATTGCATAGGGTTGCTCCATACCAACCAGCCATGTGACATTATTCATATGGAGCTATCCAACATATTCTGAACAATTGTCTTCTTCAGGCTGCAAATGGTATATTATATGATACAAGGACCAAGAAGAACATTAGTCATGTAAATTAAAATGTATTGGTTGCTTCCTTCACAAGACCTACATGAAAGCTCCCTGATCCTCAATCCATGAGGCCTACAGGGTTGCTGACAGACTGGACCAACATTCAACTGTTGGCATGGATAGCAACCCGACAGACTGGACCAACATTCAACTGTTGGCATGGATAGCAACCCGACAGACTGGACCAACATTCAACTGTTGGCATGGATAGCAACCCGACAGACTGGACCAGCATTCAACTGTTGGCATGGATAGCAACCCGACAGACTGGACCAGCATTCAACTGTTGGCATGGATAGCAACCCGACAGACTGGACCAGCATTCAACTGTTGGCATGGATAGCAACCCGACAGACTGGACCAGCATTCAACTGTTGGCTTGGCTAGCAACCCTTTCAACTGTCCCCTAGCAGTATCGGAGTTGGTGGGCTTCCATGTGGGTCATGGGAAGGCAGCAACCTATACATTTTACTTTATATGGCCAATGCTCTATTTGGTCCTTGTATCACATGATATACTATATGCACCTCTGAAGAAGACAATTGTTCGAATTGCATAGGGTTGCTCCATACCAACCAGCCATGATATACTGTATCTTGATTTGAAGTGATATTAATTTTATGGAGCTTTCCAACACATTTTGAACAATTGTCTTCTTCAGGGGTGCAGATGGTATATTATATGATACAAGGACCGAGAAGAACATTAGTCATGTAAAGTAAAATGTATGGGTTGCTTCCTTCACAAGACCCACATGAAAGCTCCCTGATCCTCAATCCATGATGCCCTCAGAGTTGCTGACAGACTGGACCAGCATTCAACCGTTGCCATCATTAGTAACCCTTCCAACTGTCCCCCAGCAGTATCAGGGTTGGTGGGCTTCCATGTGGGTCATGTGAAGGCAACAATCTATACATTTTACTTTACAGGGCTAATTGAAGTTGGTCCTTGGATTATATAACACACCACTTGCATCCCTGAAGAAGACAATTGTTCAAAGCGCGTTGGGTTATTCCATAGGAATGATGTCACTTCAAAGCAAAATATTTCTATAATTAATGTAACATGTGGATTAATTAGTGATACATTTCCCTGCAAGTCACCTGTTCAAGGACTATAAAAGTGTTCAACCGACCATGATATATCATTTTGTAATTATTGTCTAAAACAGAAATCTGGGGATTTTACAATTTTGTATATAAGCGATTGTATCCATCTAAAGTGCGTATAAAGTCCCGCCACACGGATATATTCTGATGCAATCACCACTTTCAGGATCTGGACACATTTGGAGCAGAAGATTATTGATACGCGAGTGCGATAATCCTCAGGCATGCTTTGTATATGAGTGGTGCAACTTCAGTGCCTCCAATGGGTGAAGCACAGAAATGTGGCCACGGTGTTTAGGGCTGCAGTCAGGAGGGCAATAAAACCACACAGCTCAGCCGCCTGGTTTTACTGCCCAACCCCTCCCACCCCCCCGGCCACACGTGTCTCCAGAGCCTTAGGGGTACCCCGCGGTGGACAAAGAGCTTCCTTTAAGAATGATACCCTATATTGCCAAAAGTATTGTCCCCACCCTCCCAATCAAGTGATTAAGGTGTTCCAATCCCCTCCATATCATGTGATTCAGGTGTTCCAATCCCCTCCATATCAGGTGATTCAGGTGCTCCAATCCCTTCCATATCATGTGATTCAGGTGTTCCAATCCCCTCCATATCATGTGATTCAGGTGTTCCAATCACCTCCATATCATGTGATTCAGGTGTCCCAATCCCCTCCATGTCATGTGATTCGGGTGTCCCAATCCCCTCCATGGACACAGGTGTATACAATCAAGCCCCTAGGCATGCAGACGGCTTCTACAAACATTGGTGAAAGAATGGGTCGCTCTCAGGATCTCAGTGACTCCAAGCGTGGTCCCGTGATAGGTGGCCACCTGGGCAATAAGTCCATCCGTGACATTTCCTGGCTACTAAATATTCCACGCTCAACTGTTAGTGGGATTATAACAAAGTGGAAGCCACTGGGAACAATAGCCACTCAGCCACCAAGTGGTAGGCCATGTCACATGACAGGGCGGGGTCAGCGCATGCTGAAGCGCACAGTGCGCAGAAGTCGCCAACTGTCTGCAGAGTCAATAGCTAAAGACCTCCAAACTTGGTGTGGCCTTCAGATGAGCCCAACAACAGTGCGTAGAGAGCTTCATGGAATGGGTTTCCATGGCCGAGCAGCTGCATCCAAGACTTCCATCACCAAGTGCAATGCAAAGTGTCGGATGCCGTGGTGTAAAGCACGCCGCCACTGGACTCTAGAGCACTGGAGACGTGTTCTCTGGAGTGACCAATCACGCTTCTCTGTCTGGCAATCCGATGGACGTGTCTGGGTTTGGCAGTTGCCAGAAGAACGGTACTTGCCTGACTGCATTGTGCCAAGTGTAAAGTTTGGTGGAGGGGGGATTATGGTTGGGGGTTGTTTTTCAGGGGTTGGGCTTGGCCCCCTAGTTCCAGTGAAGGGAACTGTTAAGGCGTCAGCATACCAAGACATTTTGGACAATTTCATGCCCCCAACTTTGTGGGAAGAGTTTGGGGATGGCCCCTTCCTGTTCCAACATGACTGCCCACCAGTGCACAAAGCAAGGTCCATAAAGACATGAAGGAGCCAGTTTGGGGTGGAGGAACTTGACTGTCCTGCACAGAGTCCTGACCTCAACCCCATAGAACACCTTTGGGATGAATTAGGGCGGAGACTGCGAGCCAGGCCTCCTCCCCCGACATCAGTGCCTGACCTGACAAATGTGCTTCTGGAACAATGGTCCAACCTTCCCATAGACACCCTCCTAAACCCTGTGGACGGCCTTCCCAGAAGAGTTGAAGCTGTTATAGGTGCAAAGGGCGGGGCCAACTCAATATTGAACCCTACGGACTAAGACTGGGGGGGGGGCATTAAAGGTCATGTGCGTGGAAAGGGCGGGGCCAACTCAATATTGAACCCTACGGACTAAGACTGGGGGGGGGCCATTAAAGGTCATGTGTGTGGAAAGGGTGGGGCCAACTCAATACTGAACCCTACGGACTAAGACTGGGGGGCCATTAAAGGTCATGTGCGTGGAAAGGGTGGGGCCAACTCAATATTGAACCCTACGGACTAAGACTGGGGGCCATTAAAGGTCATGTGTGTGGAAAGGCCGGCGACCCGATACTTTTGGCAATATAGTGTAGTTAGTGGGTCCGGCGCTCCACCAACATGTCCTTCGATACTACAGGTGACATGGGAAGGG